TTCCAAAGATTAAATAAATAGCATGTTTCAAGTACCAAACAAAAGGTTTAAAACTCTCAAGTCCCTCCATGTTAACAGAACTGCATTTATTTATTTTATATGCTATTAGATAATTGATCTTTATAAAGCAAATTTTCACTAAATAAGTTTAAAGCCTTTCTTTATGCTTTATTCTTAGAGACTAGGTTTGGTTTATCAAGTGGTAATTGGAGAAGAAAGCATAAAAATGAAATCAACTATCCATTGTTTTTTACTGATTTGTATTGATTTTTAAGTGTTATTATTTATTACTGGTAGAGAGTTTATGCACATATTTGTTTTCAACCACAATATTTTTTAGCAAGGGCAGGGGCATGAGCCATCTTAATTTTTTTTTAATTTTTATGAATTTGTCATGTAATATTACTGGTTAATTTCAAATTAATCTTTTATCAAATTCCTAATTCTATCCTCTCCAGATTTTTGGTATTACAATAAGAATGTTTTTCACAATACAACTAATTTACTACTTAACTTATAGACTTACTAGGATTTGTGAATCTTTAACTGAAATAAGTAATTATTATTATTAGAAAACATATTTTTCCTTAACATGGCATTAACCTTAAAATATCAACCAAATTTTGGTTAAGTAAATACTGGCTAACAAATAAACTTTGGTTGTAATGCTCAGATTGTATATAGACTTTATTTCTAACCAGTTTTTAATCTGGACAGACAGCTAAGATCTTAAATACCAAATTATATAATGAAAATCTCCATAACTTTATTTGCTATTTTAGCCAAAACATTTTTCATATCTATGGCCATTTAGATGGCTTATTAAGAAAATTTTTGTCTGAGTCATACTTCTCTTGAAAAAGCATTTTAGACATTGAAGAGATGAATACAACTGGAATGGAGCCCTATGACCAGGAGCAACTCATGTGATTATATGTTTCAGCTGTAATACAATACAAATTAATGCCCAAACTGTCCAAACAGATGGCTTTCTATCCCATTTAACTGGTCACCAAGGACAAATAATTCAGAACAATCCTCAGTAGCCTATTCTCACTATTAAAATCATCAGAAAATTGTGTGTTCTTCCTCAATACTGCTTTTGTTCTAATTTGTCATTTTTTTGTTTGTTTATGAGGTTATCTTCCATAGAGATAGAGAAAAAAAATGCATCTATCATTTTTTAAAAATATTTAAACTGCATAATCCATGTCTTCTAATTTTTTTCTGTTTTTCCAAGAAGTTAAGTTAAAAATAATAATAGTACACATAAAGTAAGCTCATGAGCTTGATATTAGTGCATTAAAAGTTTGTGTAGTTTGGGGCAGAAATATGGATGTTAAGGCCACACAAACCTGCATTTGAATCTTAGACTAGGTCTTGTCTGACTTTACTTCTTTAAATAAGTTAAACTCCTTGAACTTCAATATTTAGAAACAAAAATCAGAAATGAATACCTTAGAATAATGTTGACATTAAAAAATAATAGCTGGCATATTTCAGGTATTTATTATATTAAAATTGTTACTATTATAACTAATGTATCAGCAATAATCACTATTTTGGAAAATAATTTAGAAAGAAATAATTACCACTGAAAATTAAAAGGCAACCTTTGACAAAAAAAAATTCCTTTTTTTATTTATTTTATAAGCTATTAGATCAGTCGGTAGAATAGAATACTACCAAAAGAGTATACCTTGATTGTAACAAGTCTTTAAGAAGAATGGTCTGGTATAATATTTTGTGGATAGGATGGAGCTATACTAGATGAATGGTAGAAAATATAGAGGAATTCCTACTTAATTCAGTACTCTGATTATTGGTTTCCTGAAAGGGAAAATAAATAGTGCTTGACATAGAGACTCAAAGTTATCATGATAGAAAAATGAAGATAATACACAACATTCATAATTCTACAGATATTCAATTCCATGTGAAAATTATTACAATTGACTTCATAATTGAAATGGCTTTGTGGTAAACATTACTTTAAAATAATCCTAATATGTATGTTCAAAGAATTACTTATTTACATGGGAAAAAATTATGCAAACATTAAACTTAAAAATTAAATTAAAATGACAATTCCTTTTATTTCTCATCTTGATTTAATGTGGTTTAAGTTTGATATCCTTACCATTTTTTTTCAAATCTTCATACAGCATATGGATTAAGTTCTCCATTCCAATTCTCCTCCCTCTCAGGTATGCAAGGCAGCAAATGATAGCAGCACTTTGACTAGCTCAGCTTGTATTATAGTAGAAATTCCGTGATATCTAATGATGAGAAACCTTTCATATTCCTCATAAAAAATAAATTCAAAACAATGAGCCAATAGACACAATTACTAATTCAGATAAACTTCCTCTGTAGGTATCTCTGTTTCAAAATAAAAAATAAAAAATACATGCCCCAAGAAACATTTCAACTGTGAATCTATTCTCATTACAATTTAGAGTCCACAAACTGAAATGTGTCCATTTGAAAAAAATCTTAAAAAGCTTTAATTGGGCTGTTCATTATTATTATTAGTTTGTTAATTCTCACCTGAAATATTTTCCCATTGATTTTTAGAGAGAGAGGAGGGAGGGAGGAAAGGAGGAAAGGTGAGATGGGAAGGGGGGAGAGAGAAACATCTATGTGAGAGAGAAACATTGATTGGCTGCCTCCTGCACACCCACTACTGGGGATTGAGTCCGCAACCCAGGCATGTGCCCTTACCAGAATCAAACCCCTGACCCTTCAGTCTACAGGCTGGTACTCTATCCACTGAGCCAAACTGGCTAGGGCTTTTGTGTGTGTGTGTTTTTAAATAAATTTGAAAGCAAAACAAAATTAATAATAACTGAGAACTTTAGGGGCAATGCTCTTATGTCCTTGTAAAACAAGGGTTCTGTTAAACTGCTTGTTTGCTGCTTTTCAATACTATATATATATATATATATATATAGATAGATAGATAGATAGATATATATTGATATTGATATATAATTGCTTTAATTATAGAAGTAAATGCGGTCTGAGTCTATAGTTCCATTTAATATATATTTTCTTTATTGTTTTCTATATTAGTTACATTTTCCATATACTGAAAAGTGAAAAAAATATGAACATGTAAGCTCTGCAATTGAAATTTTTTTTTTTTTTCATTTTGGCAGAGGACATAGCCACTAGCTAGAACAATTCTTCAGGTGTGGCTGTGTGGGGTTATTTATTGCCAGCAAAAGTAAGGAAGAAATAGCTTGAGCGTCATAAGTGGGTTTAGAGTGACATTTACTGAAAAGGGACCATCTGATGTAGGGGGAGGAAGAACAGAGAGCACCCGTTTAGTAGAGGTATCAGTGCAGAAAACAATAAGTCTTATTTTTTGGTTTCTATTTTATTTTCCCAAATTTCAAAGGGCAATCTTTCATTTTCTCCTTGATGAAAATAGATAAAAATCCCCCCCCCCTCTCTCTCTCTCCTGGAAGATGCCCCTTTCTCCAATTCCTGACCTTGAGAAGAAAATAAAAGCCTTTCTTTTAGATCTGGGAAAATGAATCTGTGTTTCTTAAAAGAGTTTTAAACATTTTTAAGAGGTTTAATAAAGTAAGATCTACTGCTTTTAGATATGTGAAATAACAGTTCTTGGTATTTAAAATTACCCTGGTAGTATTTGATAAGAAAACAAAACAAAACAAAACACTCAATGTCATTAGGGCTGTAATTAGTAGACAGAGGAAAAAAAAAATATATTTTTTAAGAAATAGGCACACAGGCAATGGTGTATTTGTTACAAAATCAGATTAAGCATGTAAAGACTTAGGTTCTGTAGGTTATTAAAATATAATCCTAAAAATACAGATATTGTATCTAATATAATTGAAAAAATTGTCATGAGTTGACTTATGAAAATCAGTTTAATCTACATATTTAAAGGTCAGGAAACTCAAACTAATAAACTAATAAGTTTAATAAAGACTGGAAAGTTGGGATTCAGAATATACATAGTTGTCAGATCTTGGCTTCTGAGAGATCAAATATTGGACAAGGAAAAACCTAACCATAACTGATATCCCATCTAATAAGGAGGGAATATGCTAATTGATTGACCCACCTCAAAGATGGCTCCACTTGCCTGCCTCTGGAATCCCCCAGTCCCTGTGGCCCCCAGCTGCAGGCAAACCTTAAGACCAGCCCAAGGCGTAGGCAGACCTCAGATGGCTGCTGCCCAGCCGATGCCGGAGGCTCAGGTAACCAGGGCTGGCAGAGGCTTGCGCTGCCAGCAGTGGCAGCAGCAGAGACGTGATGGGGCTTCACCTTTCCCTGATTGCCAGGTCGCCTCCCACCCCTCAAAGCTCCCATACTGTGAGAGGGGGCAGGCCGGGCTAAGGGACACCCCTCCCACCCCCCGCAGTACATGAATTTTTATGCACCAGGCTTCTAGTAATTTCATAAAAGACATTTTTTTTCTAAATAATTTATCAATTTGTACAATGCATCTAAGGCAGATTTGCTTTTTCACCTTGGTAATCAATAGATGATTGTCTATTTGCTAGCAGAATTTAATCATCGTATTTGTGTAATCAATAAAGACAATTTTCTTTTGAAATAAGGTTAAGGATGTATTTAGCTAAAAATCACCCCAAAGTATTCTTTCTATTTAGACACCTGTTGTAAAAACAGGTGATTGTCTAGATGCCTTCCTATTGACACCTCTTAGAAGAAATGCGGAAAGATTGTAATGAAACTGCTGTTACTGCAGATCCCTCAGTTTAATGTGACTCTGGGGGCTCCTTGTATGGTTTCCTTACCAATTATAGTAAATAACATTTCTCTTGTGAAAATGTGAAAAACAAGTTTCCGTGGACCTGTTACCTTTTTTCCAGGGTGATAGCAGTGTACTGAAGAAAAAAAAAATCCTACATAAGAGATAAAATATATTCCATATATTGCTATACCGCTAGACAAGCTGAGTATAAAACATGAAATACTGTTTCATGACATATATGGAATACCAAACCTTAAAGAAACTAAATAAACTATTTTGGGAAATGAATCTTTATGAAGAAATAATAGGTATGATTAATGTTATAAAATCTATTCTCTGAAGTTATTCATTTAATGTTCATATTCAGTATTAATTATTTAAAGCTTAGGTTGGAAGTTCATTATACTTATGATTTCTATTAATAGTTAGCCTACCCAGAGAAAAGGTTGTTCATTTGAATAAAGAGTACAGAGGTCTCTTGAGTTATGTAACTTTCTCACCATTCCCACCATCCCATTGTGTATACATATATCCCTCCCTCTCTTTCTCCCAAACTATTCTCCTGGATTAAAATCTCTTTTGCCTAAAACCCATTTCAGTTATATGCCATTGCTGTTAAATCAACAGGGACACATGTGACTATTTCAGAATTATAGGGGATGTTTTTCATGACAAAATACATAACATTGACCAGATTAACAATTTAAATGTATATACAATATTGTTAACTTCATGTGTGGTGGTGTGCAGCAGATCTCCAGAACTTTTCCAACTTGCATAACTGAAAGTGTATACCCATAGTACAGCAAATCTAGGAAGCATTTCAATCACAAACCAGGAAGGATGCTTTCCCAATAGGTAACATTTTGAAAGTACATGTGTTAACCCGTGTGTGTGTGTGTGTGTGTGTGAATGCTTTATTCCTTAACATAAGATTGGTCTTTTTAAAAATTATACTAAAGTAACATATGTCAACTCAACAATATAGATAATAAAACACATTAAGAAGACAAGAATAAGCTGTCATAGCCCCCACCTGCAGTAAAAACATATTCATCCTTTTTGAGATTATACTTTGAGGCTATTGTGCTTATTATATACATAAAGTCTGTTTACAGCAATAAGAGTACATTATAATTCTAATTTTTATTCTTATATCATATCACTGGCAACTGTTCAAACCCAAATTATTGTTCTACAAAATCAGTTTAAGGACCTGTAATTCAATTTCTTATTGATAGGTATTTAGTCTATATCTATTTATCCAGGTTGTACTGATACTGCCAAACAAAAGCTGGTGTTTACACCTTTTCACAACTTTCTAATTATTTTCTGGATATACATTGTTTGGTTCAGAGATACAGGAAACTTTAAAGCTTCGAAACTGCAAAAATGCTCGGTTATATTTTGTACTGATTTGTATTTCTTAGCAATTTAAGAGAGAGACTGTTTTCCTCAAAAGGGATTAACACTGTATATGTTCATTCTTTGTAATCTCTATCTAATGAACCAACTTTTAGTTAGTAAAATTTTTGAAATTGAAAATTTATAATCTTCAATTATAAGGCTTGGGGTTCCTATTGCTGATCTCCCAATCTCTCCCCCTTGCCCTCACCCAAATTAACTAGTCTTCCCGGGAACAGGGTGAAATATTTGCAGTTATTGTTAGATTTTTTAGTGTGTCCTCTTATACTCTACGTACACATTATTTTTCACTATGGCAAACAATTATATAGCTGGTTCTGTCTATAGGAATTAGGAGAGGGGAAAAAGAGCATGCATTATAAAATATTATTATATTTTCCAAATATATCATTAATTAATAAATAAAATAATTATACGTTTTTCTCATGATCACAAATTAATATAGTAAATAATATGTTGCTAATTTTTCAGATCATTTATTATATTTATACACTGTAGACATAATATTTTTGAAAAATAATTTTTTAACTCTTTTCAATATTTTGGGATGGGAACTGTATCAACCTACATGTAACCTAACTATTAAGCTTGAGAATTGAGTCTACATACTGTCAACATGACTTAGCTGTTTATTCCCAGGAAATTTTTGCTCAGGAAAGATAAAACTATAAATAAATAAAAATCAATGCTTGCTTCAGAAAATACATACAAAAAAATTATGTGACACTGTTTAGATGTAATTCAAGATCTTCACTTTGCTGTGTCTACCAATCTGGAAGTCATATGTCACAGACATTTTATGATTTTAATTAGTCCCTTGACTCAAAAGAGTTACATTAAAGCCACTTGTGCCAAGACCCTGATGATATAAATAGCTCACTTCTGACTTCTACCTCCTTAGACATTGCTAAGATCTTTCTCATAAGGTGGCTTTTTCCCTGACTGTGATGACTTCTAGTAAGGTTAGCTTTTCTATATTAGCAGGTGATAACTTTGGGGAGTTCACCAAGCTCAGGGAACATTGGGAAATCCCACTGAGATCCATTAAGGCTTCCTCTGTACCTTCATCCAACAGTCTTGACTTAGAAATAGCATGCTCCACTGGGATGCTCCTCTCACTGAGTGCTCTCCAAGCAAGTGGGTCTCAGTAGATACAGGCACAGATTTCATTTCTTTGGGCTTCAAGTGTTCAGTTTATTTGACATCCCAGAGAATAGAATGCCTTTATGGAATCTTGGTTTTCTGATCAGATTTGAAATCTCTCATTCATAGCTGAAATTTACCTTGTGACTACAAATACTACTGCTTGTTTTTGTCCTTGGCAATTTATATTGCAAATCTCTAAGGAAAATTCTAGATTAAGGGGGGTGCATATAAACTCATTAAATCTGTCCTCAAAATAAGTTCTGTAAAAAAAAAGTTATGAGCACTTTCCTCAGTTGTCTTTGTAACTGATCTTGTTAGTTTTATCTATCTGCATTTGAGAAATTTGCAGAGCTCTTGATTGGTGATGGACAATCTGTTGGCTAATTTCTGAAGGCACATTTTTGTATGGCCACTGATTTTATATATATTATATATATATTTTATTGATTTTTTTTTTTAACAGAGAGGAAGAGAAAGGGACAGAGAGTTAGAAACATTGATGAGAGAGAATCATCTATCAGCTGCCACTTGCACACCCCCCACTGGGGATGTGCCCGCAACCAAGGTACATGCCCTTGACCAGAATTGAACTCTGGACCTTTCAGTCCACAGATCAACACTCTATCCATTGAGCCAAACTGGTTTCCGCTGGCCACTGATTCCTATGTCTGTTTAAATCATGGTGTGTCATTCACATTTAGGTCTTTAAGCCATAGAACTGTGTTTTATGTTGAGTGTGAAGCAAATATTTAATTTCATTTTTCTTCCATATGTACACACAGTTCTCCAGAACATTTATAGGAAACTGTCCTTTCTCACTGATTTGCAATGCCATTTTTCTCATATATTGTGTCCATATTTGTGTGGTTCATTTTCTTGGCTTTCATATATATATATATATATATATATATATATATATATATATAGTCTATTTGTTTAGCTTAGGACTATCACCATACTGTCCCAATTATTTTATATATAAAATATAAACAATTTGACTAGTATCTATGATGCACACTAACCACTAGGGGGCAGACACTCAATGCATAGGCATGGAAACATGGAACAGACTGAGGAATCTCAGAGGGAAGAGGGGAGGCTGGGAAGAGATTAACCAAAGATTTTATATGCATACTAGAGGCCAGTGCATAGATTAGTGCGCCCTCTCAGGGGATGTCGGACTGCCAGTTTCCATCCAATCCCTGCAGGCCAGGCAGAGGGACCCCAGTGGTGCACTAATCCATGCACAGTACCTTTAGTTTTTATAATAAGCCTTAATATATGTTAATGCATTCTTCTCTTCCTACCTTGTTTTTATTTATAAATGCCTTGACTATTCAGACTCCTTTCACTATTTTATATTAGATACATTAAAGAATAAAATTGTCAAATTTGACCAAAAGAGTAAGAATTTTTTTGGATGGCAATAAATCCATAAAATAATTTGGGAAGAATTAACATTTTTATAATATTTGGTATTCCTATTAAGAACTTGGTATATACTAGTATATTTACTAATGTCTCTCAGTTGTAATTGTCAATAAATAATCCCGTGTAAAATCAAGCTTGCTTGAATACAGGAATGAATGAGTGCATTAATGAATTCCACCTATGCCATTAGCCTCTAAAAGTTCAGATTATTACTCAAATACCCTAGTTTTCACTAGTGCTATTCATATGTTTAAATTCTGCATGGCCTTTAAATTGTAGACCTTTTAGTGTATTTCAATCTTTTGTTGTTGTTTTTAAACAATTGAATGAAAGAATAGTAAGGATAACAATTATTTCATGATTTTTTTTTTCAGTTTATATATGCATTTGTCCACACATGGGTTAAGTGTATGTTTGGGTTCCAGTGTGAAATGTATTTAAAGTAATAGACACCACTAATACAGGGCTTACTCTAGAGCACATGTGTCAAACACAAGGCCCACGGGCCAAATCTGTCCCGCCAGGCCTTGCAATGTGGCCCACACCGCGCTGTCATCACTGCACTCCGCTGCGTTTCCATCACAATGACAGTTTATGACTGTTCAGTAAACCATTCGGCCCGCGATTTAGGCTGGATTTTAGAATTTGGCCCCTTCTCTGATTGAGTTCGACACCCCTACTCTAGAGCAGGCATTAAGTGTTTTGCTTACATTTTATTATTGGTTGCAATGAAAAGTAAAAAATTTACATGTCTTTTGAGGTTTAACTTTAAATAGTTTTACTATCCCATGGTTTTATCTATTTCTCCAAACAAGTGAGGTTCAGGAATGAAGGTTTTGTATGACGTATTAAAAGGATTTACACAGATCTACCAACATGTGGGGCATTCAACAGGTTTTAGACAGTCATGAATGACTGCTGTCCACTATCTCCCTTTGTTTTCTCACTAGACAAGTTTACTTGGTCCAACAACTGCACCGATATCGTCTTTTCTAGAACATTTATTTAGTACATGAATAATCACTAAGCTTGATTTGTGAGGAACCTGAATCTAAAAAATAAAAGCATTGTGAAGAAAAAGTTACAACCAAGAAGTAAGAATATACCCTCCTTAGAATATTAAGGTTTACTCTTTTTTATTTTTAGGATCTTTCCTCTGGGATCCTAAGCAGTCACAAAACCAAAACAACAAACAAAAAACAAAACAAAACAAAACTAATATTAGAAAAAGCCTCTATCTGGTTTTAGATTCTTATAAAACCTCTAAAGTTACAAATGTGAGTGCTGATTTTTTACCTTAAAGGAAAGACTTCCTTAAAAATGTCACTTTTCTATGATTATAATGAAGGCAATTAGTTCATGCCTTTATTCCTATTTATATATTCAGGGTGGGCAAAAATAGGTTAATAATAATCCTATATAATAAAAGGCTAATATGCAAATTGTCCCATTGGGAGTTTGACCAGCTGGGATTTTGACCACTTGCTATGACGTGTGCTGACCACCAGGGGGTGGTGCAGGACAAAGGAAGGCCCTGATCTGCTCTGATCACCAGCCAGACCTAGCGACCCTACCCATGCATGAATTTCTTGCATCAGGCCTCTAGTAATAATATAATAAATACTAGTAATATGTAATGAATACTGTAAGAGACAACTGTAAACCTACCTTTTCCTATTTCTATATATGAATATGAAAGTGATTCTTGCTCTCATTTATTGGCTAATAATGTGTATAGGATCTGTATATAACACCATGTCACACAAAAAAATGCTATTTTAGCTTTAGGATAATGTGTTCCATGGTGATGATCTGGAGGTTGTTTGGACAGTATCATTCTAGTCAGGGGTATGGCCAAACTGGATATAAAGGCTTCTGGCTAGGATCTTCAGAAGCCTTGTCAAGCTTAGGAAGCCAGAGGTTTCCTGGCAGAAATCTGCATTTTGGCAACGTACTATGGATCACAGGAAACCTAAGAGCCATGCTTCACCATATGTTCATCCAGGAAGCTGTCCACCAAGGGGAGGCATGCATTTCAACTGAGCATGCTCAGAAGAAATGATTTGCTAAAGGAAATCATGAGCAAATTATCATCATTAAGTTACTGATAATTCAACATATAAATGTTAGCATCTATTGTGTGTCAAACATGGTTGTATTTTAAAATATATTAGTATTTGAAAACTTGACAAAAATATCTCTTTATGGACCTTATATTCTAGCATGAAAAATAGATTTTAAATAATAGTGAAAATAAGCAAATTAAATATATTAGAAGGTGATGGTTTTTATGAAAGTAAATAGAATAAAGTATTGATGTAGGTCATAAAGACTCCTCTTATTTTTTTCCCTTTGTCCCAGATTCGAACTTCTATTATCCTTTTCTCATTAGGACAAATTTTAATATGCATGTTCCATGTAAATAAGGTAGTATTGTTTTATGTGTTTCTAATTTACATCACTGTTGTTGGTCCTAATTTAGTCAGCTTCTCATAGTTTTAAAATTAAATATGCTTGAATTTTATCTATCTTGCTATATGTATATTCACTTATTTGCTTCTAACTGCTGCATAGTTTTTAATAGCATGCATATGCTGCATTTTATGCATGCACTTCTCTAATAATAGACATCTAACAATTCCCAGTTACATAAATAACAACATGCTGTAGATCCAATTTTCTAAGAACTTTAAAAAGATATATATCTAGGAATGAGATTGCTGGGCATAAAGATATTAAATTTTAGTAAATGGTATGAAATTGCTTTTCAGAATGGTTATACTGATGCATACCCTCACCATTATGCTCTTTCCAATTTGCCACTTCAATGGGTATAAAATGTTTTAAATTAGCATTTTTAAATTTTGAGTTTGAACTTTCAGACCTCCCTTTCTGTGAGTTTCCTATTAATATAATTTGCACAGTCATCTATTGTTTTGTTGTTGTTGTTGATTTAAGAAAATTATTTTTCCTCGCCTGTGTAACTCAGTGGTTAGAGCACATGTGTCAAACACAAGGCCCGCGGGCCAAATCCGTCCCGCAAGGCCTTGCAATGTGGCCCGCACCGCGCTGTCATCACTGCACTCCGCTGCGTTTCCATCACAATGACAGTTTATGACTGTTCAGTAAACCATTTGGCCCGTGATTTAGGCTGGATTTTAGATTTTGGCCCCTTCTCTGATTGAGTTCGACACCCCTAGAGGGTCCGCAGGCACACCAAAGGGTCACAAATTGATTCCTGTTCCAGGCACCTGGTAGTGATGAATGCCTAATGCAGCTAATTTTTCTCTCTCTTCCCCTCCCTCCCTGCCCTTCTCCCTCCTTACTTCCTTTCTTCTTTCCATTCTATCTGAAAAGCAAAGGAAAAGATGTCCTCAGGTGAGGATTAACAAAAAATAAAATAAAATAAAATAATTTGTATATCCTATAATCAATATTTTTTTCTTTTTTTTCTATTATCACTCTTCCTAAAGAGCTTTAAGATATTTTTTCTAACAGCCTTCACTCATGAAATTTTAATAGCACAGACATATTTTACCTGTTTATGTATTTCAAAATATCTGTGTTTTATATATTAAAAAGTATAATATGATTAGTAGTAAAATATTTATTACCTTTCACACAGTATGACCCCAACATGAGAATGCATGTAATAATGTTTTTATTTTAAAAATATCTTAGTTCTATAATCTCTGTTAATTTTTATCCAATTTTTTCATCTGCCTGTCAACCTTTTTAACCAGAATGCTTAATTTTGTAATACTGTACTGATTTTTGATCTTATGATTTATTCTTTTTAGTTCTTATTTAATGTATTTTTACACTTGTGTTTTAAATTTATTTTCTAATTTGTACTTCTATTTGATATATAAATTCTTCTTTCACATTTAGGTTATTAATACAACCAGCATACATTATGCTCATGATCTACTTTTACTTTTCTTAATTCCATAGACAAACTTTCTCAATACTGTTTACCAAGTAACCCAATGGTTGTGCAATATATATATATATATATTTTTTTTTTTTTTTCCATATGTATAAGGATTTATTTCTGAGTTATCTGAGGTTTTCTCCACATTAATCTATCATCTTTTGAATACTGTTTATTTTGTGTGTTTTTTTGTTTTGTTTTTTTTCTTTGTAATAGGTCTTAAAATCTGTTTGGGTAAATATGCACTGTAAGTCAGAGCTTGTAGAGTTATTCATAGAGTATAGCTTATTCCAAGTTTATGTTTTATAGAGGGTTTTTTGAATTCTTAGAGAAATCAGGTTAAATTTTGATGGAGGTGGCTTTGAATTTGCAAATTGATTTGGGATAATTTTTCTACTTATATGTTATGATTCCAACCTTGAATTCTATATATAACTTCATTTACATTTCTAATTAAATATTATCTTTATATTTTCTAAATAGGTAAAATTTAAACAAAATTCAAAAGGAAAAGAAAAAGTATATCCATTAAAATGTTTCCTCCTTCTTTTCTTCCATCCTTATTGGCAACTATCACTATTAGATATTCGTGTTACCTTTTTAAAGGATATGCACTTTAGTTGTAGGATGATACAGTATTTTTAACACCATATTAATATTATTATTGGGTTTGTGTGCCAATTAATTTTTGGAGGATCTTATTTCTGTCAAAGATCAATTAGTAAACATTTTAGTCTTTGGAAACCAGACAGCTTTGTTGCCCTTATACTGGAAAAATAACCAGAGTCATCTTCCATGCGTGAGTGTGGGTGTGTCTGATACAACCTTTCAAACAGCACAGTGTGCCATTTGACTCTCAGGCCTCAGTGTGCCCACCCCTGTTACATGGGTTATTGTTTGAATACACGAAAGATAATGATTTCTGAATATCAATTTTATATTTGGTCACCTCATTGAATACTTTCATTGTTGATAGTACTTTTTTTGCCATTCCCTGCATTTGTCAACCACACAATTATGTGACAGACAAATAACGATAAATTCTCTCCTTTATTACAGTTTTATACCTTAATTTTAGTTAATACCTGCAAATAAACACAAAATATGTGAAATAATAATGTTATTTCAAGCAGTCTTGTGGGATTACTTCTATAGTGTTTTCAGTAAGTGTGATGTTGGCTTTGGGAGTGAGATATAAGTTTATATTTGGAAGTTTAAATCTATTCCTAATTTCTTAGGAGTATTAATAAAGAAGAGCAGATGTAAAATTTGTCAAATATCTTTCCATTATCCATCAAAATAACATGTTTATTTAAATCTTGTAACATGATTAATTACAATAATAAATCCCCTACTATTGAATCATCCTTTCAGTCTTGGAATAAATCCACTTGGAATAGAGATTTATTTTCTTACAATAGTAGCTGGATCCTCTTTGCTAATTTATTCATGATTTTCACACCCATATAGTGGTAAATGATCTGTAATTTATCTGGCATTTTGGCATTAAATGATATTCAAATGATTTTAAATATTGGAAACTTTTCCTCATTGTATCTAGAGAATATTTTAAGTAGCTTTGAGATGATCTGTTGTTTAGTGACTTAATATAATTATTCTCTCAAAGCATTGCCACATGATAATATGTGGACACATTCTGCATTTTGCTTTAATTTTTGTTTGTAACAGTCTTGAACATTTTTCACTATGTTAGTTTCCATGTAATTTATTTATTTATTGTATTGTAAGGCAAATATAATATATATGTGTGTGTATATATATATATATATATATATATTTACACAAATATATATATATTTTTTTCTTTCATTGTTGAAAAGCAAATTATTCCCAAATTCAGTATTTTAAAACTGTAACAAACATTTATTTGTGTATTATTTCGGCAGAGAGGCTTAGCAGGGTGGTTTTGGCATGGAATCTCATGAAGTAGTCAGCATGTCAACCAGGCTGCTGTATCTGAAGCCTTGACTGG